GGTGTACCACATGCGGCCGCCCCGCCCATGTCGGCACACCCTTCGCACGTTTCGTGCCCCCCCGGGGAGCTCCACCGAAGGCCCCTGTGCCAGGGCCCGTATGCCGGGTTTCGTGGTCCCATGGGGAAATCCACCGAAGGCCCCAGTGACAGCGCCCGAATGGCGGCCCCGCCCCATTTCTGCACATCCTTCACGCGCTTCGTGGCTCCAGAGGGGGTTCCACCGAAGGCGATACTCACAACGACGGTGTACCACATGCGGCCGCCCCACGCATGTTCCCACACCACACGTGGCATGGCCCCATAAAAAGGGGTTATACCGAATGCCCCAGGGGGATGTACCACATGCGGCTGCCCCAGTCATTTCGGCACACCCTTCACACGGTCCGTGCCGCCATATGGAGTTCCATTGAATGCCCCAAGGGCGTCGCACATGCGGCCGCCCCACCCATGTCGGCGCACCCCTCACACGTCTTGTAGCACATATGGGGGCTCCACTTACGGCCTCCGGGGTGTGTGCCACATGTGGCCGCCCCGCCCATGTCGGCGCACCCTTCACACGTCTTGTAGCCCATAATGGGGGCTCCACCTACGGCCTCCGGGGGGTGTACCACATGTGGCCGCCCCACCCATGTCGGCACAACCCTCACACGCTTCGTAACCCCATAGACGGCTGCCCCGAAGGCCAGGGGGATGTACCACATGCGGCCACCCCACTCATGTCGGCACACCCTTCACACGTGTCGTACCCCGGTCGGGATCACCACCGAAGGCCCCGAAGGGGTGTACCACATGCGACCGCCTCACCATCTCGGCACGCCCATCACACGGTTCGTGGTCCCCTCTGGAGCTCCACCTCAGGCCCCAGGGGGATGTACCACATGCGACCGCCCCACCCATGTTGGCACACCCCTCACATGGTTCCTAGCCCCACAGGGAGCTCCACCTAAGGACCAGGGGGAGTACCACACGCGGCCGTCTCATGTATTTCGGCACACCTCTCACACGTTTCGTGGCCCCTGGGGAGCTCCACCGAAAACCCCAAATGGTGTACCACATGCGGCCGACCCGCCCTTCGCACGTTTCGTGGTCCCGTAGGGAGCTCCAGCGAAGGCCCCAGTGACAGCGCCCGCATGGCGACCCCGCCCCGTTTCGGCACACCCCTCGAGCGCTTCTTGGGCCCATCTGGAGATCCACCGAAGGCGATACTCACAACGACGGTACTCGCAACTGGCACACACTTGGTTTCTCGCCCGGATAATTGTTTTGCGCGACCAAGTTGTTCCCATGTGTTTTCGCAATGTCGATCCGTTTGCGTCCTGCTTTTCACCAACAGGATTTGCGCGAAGTGTTTTTCTAAACTGTGGTGTTGTGTTGGGTCCTCGTTTTGAAGAGACGGTGGCCCGCGTCTCCTCTCCTCCTCCTCCTCCTCCCCACCCTCCTCCTCCCTCCTCCCCCTCTTCCCTGCGTTTCACCCACCCAGTACACCGTTTCGTGGTCCCATAGGGAGCTCCACCGAAGGCCTTAGTGCCACCGCCCGCATGCGTCAGCCACACCCACTTCGGCACACCCCTCACACGTTTCGTGGCCCCATAGGGAGCTCCACCGAAGGCCCCAGTGGCTGCGCTCCCATGCGCCCACCGCACCCATTTCGGCACACCCCTCACACGTTTCGTGGCCCCATAGGGAGCTCCAGCGAAGGCCCCAGTGGCTGCGCTCCCATGCGCCCACCGCACCCATTTCGGCACACCCCTCATACGTGGCCCCATAGGGAGCTCAGTGGTGGCCGGATTTCGGCCACAGGGAGCTCCACCGAAGGCACACCCCTCACACGTTTCGTGGTGGCTGCCCCGCTGCGCCCATGCGCCCACCGCACCCATTTCGGCACACCCCTCACACGTTTCGTGGCCCCATAGGGAGCTCCAGCGAAGGCCCCAGTGGCTGCGCTCCCATGCGCCCACCGCACCCATTTCGGCACACCCCTCACACGTTTCGTGGCCCCATAGGGAGCTCCAGCGAAGGCCCCAGTGGCTGCGCTCCCATGCGCCCACCGCACAGATTTCGGCACACCCCTCACACGTTTCGTGGCCCCATAGGGAGCTCCACCGAAGGCCCCCGTGGCTGCGCTCCCATGCGCCCGCCGCACTACTACCACTACTACCACTACTACTACCACTACTACCTGCATATGGTTGGGTCCTTCGCCAGGCTAATTTTCATCACCGTTTTTCGCGAATGGTGCTGTCGCTGCAGCATGGGCCTCATTTTCGGATCGGCGCTGTGCTCCCGTTGTTCAGGATGGCGCTCCCGCCCCAGCGTGGGCCAATTTTCTGGCTCCCGCACGTCTCGCAGGCACCACAGGTCCCACCGGACCCAAAAATGTAGCAGGTCGTCTCACAGGTCTCACTGGTCTGACAGGTTCCACAGGCCCCACAAGTCACACTGGTGTCGCAGAGGTCTCGCATGCCCCACAGGTCCAACAGATCCCGCAGGTCCCGGAGGTGTCGAATGTTTCATAAGTCCCGCAGAAGTCGCCCAAGTCCCACAAGTCCCGCAGGTCCCGCCGGTGCCACGGGTCCCACTGCACAGTTCCCACAGGCCCCACAGGTCCACAGGCCCCACAGGGTGTCGCAGGTCTCACAGGCCCCACAGGCCACAGAGGCCCCCCAGGTCGCACAGGTCCCACAAGCTTCAGCTATCCGACTGCGCACAGCACGATGGGGTATGTTGTGGAGTTCGAGGTCGGCCAGGACACGCGTCCGCGGCTAGAGAAAAAAACATCGCAATGGGAAGGGATGTGAGGCACGAGCGCGCCCAGCTTGCTCGTCTCCCTCTCTCCTTCCTCCGCCTCTCCTGCCTCCTCGTCCCCCTGCCCACATCTGCCAGAGCGGACCTTCGCCGCGGACGCCTTATGGCTGTCCACTGGGCGCCTTGGGCCGCCGCTCTTGGAGGGAAGGCTGTCAGCTGATCAGTACATCCCCTTTTCAACAGCTGATCAATACATCTCCTTTTCAGGTGTGCGCATCGAGTTCGATGCGGCCAGGCTGCCCGACAGCACGAGGGATGGGGGCCTCCTCGGTCCGTCCTCGGTCACTTTCGCTGGCAGCGCCCCGCTCGAAAAGCTTCGACATGGCCTTCCAAGGCACTTGAATCTTCATCGCGCATCCTTCTGATTCGGGTCGACTGTATTCTGATCTGTGATGAAGGCGGTCACGAAGATGGACGAGAAGGAGATGGCCGGAGATGGGGTTGTGTCGGAGGTGGAGTCAAGGAAGCTCGTGGGCGCGCCAGTGTTTTTCTTTTGCCTGCCATTGCTTGACGCTTCATGTGCTGATTCGTCACGTGTCCCTCTTTCCAGGGGTACGCAGAAGTACAGTGAGCGGCTTGAATAAGGAACACTTACTTTTCAAACGGGGCTCGGTCGTTCCTTAAGGCTTGCATGCGTTACGTATCCTTCCTTGTGCGTTCTTTTATTATTCATCGTTCCGTTTGCTCTTTTCCTTGGAAAACAGGGTCTTCGTTCCTTATGTATCGTCCCTTAGGTCAGGCCGATGACTTTAACACGACTTGAGGCCATGGTGGCACCTCTTTTTGTTGGCCTCTCCCTTCAGGGGCCTGTCACGACATCCGCCGTGCCAAGATCATTCTCCAGGCGGCGCTGGCCTTTAGCGCGCCAATGCTTTGCAAGCGGTGGAACGCGCTCGTTTAGTGAACGCCACCACACGCTGTGCGCAGGGGCGCGCAGAGATACATGTCATATGACCATAGTCTGCAGTCAAAAACCCTAATAAGGACGCGCGACTTTGCTCAGGGTACCCTCGCGTCCTTGCTCTTCCTTGCTCCTGCGTCCTCGGGGTTTTCGTCGTCCGCCGCCCCAGAAATCCCAGCTTCGGTCTCCAAGGGTCTTGCGTCCTTGCCGCGCGTCCTTATTAGTTTTTTTGACTGTGGTGAAACGCGCTCGTTTAGTGAACTCCCCCACACGTTGTGCGCCGGGGCGCGTAGAAATACATGTTATACGGTAGAGGGAAACAATTATTGAACACCCCCCTCCCCAAATTCAATGTTGGCGCGCGCGCGGGGAGACTGCGGTCGAGGTGCACCTCATCAGACCCACCGCCAACTTTGAGCATTGGGGGGAAGGGGGAGGCGTTGACGGATGAATGTGGCACGTGTTCGCCAATTTGTTCCGAGGCCCGTTGCAGCCTTGCCGCGCCTCCTTGCTGCACGGGCGGACTGTGGTCGAGCACGCTCCTGCCGCCCCGCTGCCCCGCGGGCGCCCCGGGGCCCTCCGCGGGCGCCCCGGGGAGCAGCGGGCCCCCCAGCGGCGGCGGCACGTGCTCGCTGATGTGCTCCGGGGCCCGTACGGTCATGGTCCAGTGGCGTCGCCGTCCGCCCCCACATGCCGAGGCCTGGCGCGGCGCCCTCACGGGCGGGAGGCGCTCGCCCGTGCAGCGCGGGCTCGCGCTCGTTCGGGCGAGGAGGAGGAGGAGGAGGAGGAGGAGGAGGAGGAGGAGAAGGAGGAGGAGGAGGAGGGAGGATGGAGGAGGAGGAGAAGGAGGGAGGAGGAGGAGGGAGGATGAGAGGAGGAGGAGGAGGAGGAGGAGGGGAGGAGGAGGAAGGAGGAGGAGGAGAGGGGAGGAGGAGGAGGAGGGAGGGAGGAGGAGGAGGAGGAGGAGGAGGAGGAGGAGGAGGAGAGGAGGAAGGAGGAGGAGGGAGGAGGAGAGGAGGAGGAGGAGGAGGAGGGAGGATGAGGAGGAGGAGGAGGAGCAGGAGGGGAGGAGGAGGAGGAGGAGGAGGTGGAGGAGGAGGAGGAGGAGGAGGAGGAGGGAGAGGAGGAGGAGGAGGAGGAGGAGGAGTGAGGAGCAGGAGTAGGAGGGCAGGAGGAGGAGGCGGAGGAGGAGGAGGGAGGAGGAGAGGAGGGTCTAGGAGGAGGAGGAGGGAGGAGGAGGAGGAGGAGGCGGAGGAGGAGGAGGAGGAGGAGGCGGAGGAGGCGGAGGAGGAGGAGGAGGAGACTCGATCGTCGATGCGGCCTGGTCGGCGACCGCCTTGACCTCGCCCGCTCGCCTCGAGAGGCTGAGCCGCTGGTCCGCGTGGGGGCTGGCTTTCTTGCGGCCTGGCGCAGCTGCTGGGCTCCACGCCGAAGTCCCAGGTGTCTGTGACCCCAGTGGTGCCTGCAGACTGGTACAGTCGGGGCCCTGAACAAGGAACCCTTTTCGTTGGGGAGGGGCTCCGCGTTCCTTAAGTGTTTCACAGCTTGCCTCAGGCTTTCCTTATGTGTTCGTCAGGAAATCAAAGCTTAACTTATGGAAAAAAGGGGCCCCGTTCCTTATTTAGGGTTCCTTAGGTCAACGCCCCGACAGTACGGAATTTGCGGGAGTTGCCGCCGCTCGTGGGGCGGGCTCGGCACTGGTGCTGTGGAGGGCGGTCCACTGGAGAGGAGGCAGGTTGCCAGCATGATTTCCAGGTGTCTAAAGTGCATGGTCAACATGTTCCGGAAGTGTTGAGCCGTGTTTTAAACATGTGTCGAGCATGTGTAAAGAGCAAACAGAAGGCATGTTCAAGACATGGTCAGTTCAATGATAGAACGGTCAGAGTGTCCAGTGTCATGCCATCCACAACTCTGGTGCACATGCCAAAATCATTATCCAAGCGGTGCTCGCATTTTGCTTTAATTGTTATTCAATCGCTTCGCTCATTCCGCCAGCCCGTACTGTACCATCGCAGGCGTTTGCCTGCACATTCGTGGCCTTTTGGGGGCCGTTAGGGAGCCTCTGGGGGCCTCTTTTTGAGCCTCTTGGGGGCCTCGTGAGGCCTCCAGGGGGCCTCCGAGGCTCTCTTGGGAGCCTCTTGGGGCCTCTTTGGGTGGAGGATCGAATTGGTGGTTCGTGCTCCCCCTCTTGGGCCCCTCTTGGGGCCGTCTTGGGGCCCTCTTGGGCGATCTTGGGCGCCTCTGGAGCCGTGTGGGGCCCTCTTGGGCCGTTCTGGGGGCCTCTTGGGGGCATCTTGGGCCGTCCGGGGCGATCTCGGAGGCCTCTTGGGCTGCCTCGGAGCGTCGGGAAGCCGAAAAGGCAAGGATGCCCAAATCCATCAGAAACCGAAGGGAAATCTATTTATTTTGCATCTGGGGGCCCTCTGGGTAGTGCTCTTGGACGTCTCTTAGGCCGTCTGGGAGCCATCCCGGGCGTCTTGGTGCGATCTTGTCGTGTCCCGGAGGCCTTTAGGACCATCTAGAGGGCCTCTTGGGGGCCTCTGGGCCGCTCTTGGGGCTCTCGGGAGGCCCTGAGGGCGGCGCTCAAGAGCAGAACCATCTCTGACGGGGACTGCCCGGGACCTGCTCGGGGTATTTTTCGGCCGCGGACCCCAGGGGCCGCCCCGCGCGCGCGAACTAGAAATACGGTTTACCAGTCACCGGAGGTGTTAGCACGCCTCTGGCCCGTTGGGCCGGCGAATCATAAGCGCGCTCGTGGCGCGCTCGATGCCTCGTTGTACAGCCCCGAGGCTGCGAGAGGCTGGGCGGGGCGCCTCGCTGCGCTCCTCCATGCAGGGGCCTGGCACGGCCCCTCCACGGGCTTCAGGTACTCGGCCGTGGCTCGTTTGCGCTCGTGGGGGCTGGCCTCTCCGCGCCCCGGCAGACAGACGCGAACCGCCGCCGCTCGTGGAGCTTGCTCGGCACTGCTGCGCGCGACTACCCGAGCGGTGCTGACATTTTTGCCCCAGCCGTCCTCGCAGGGTGCGCTCGTGGCGCGCTCTTCGTGCGTCGCCGTGCACCCCCCGAGGGCCGCGAGGCGCCGGCCGCCTCGGCCCACCGCGGCGCCCGCGCCCGCGGAGAGCCCGACGGTGCGCGCGAGCGCGGAGGCCTCGGGAGCGCAGGGGGTCCGCCCGCGCTCCCCGGCCTCTGGCTGCCCCCGGACCCCCCTCGAGGCATGAGAAAAGCACGACGGGAGGCCTTCCGCTGTCTTCCGCTCCTGGAGGCCTCTCCTCCTCCCTCCCAGACTCCTCCTCCCTCCTCCCTCCTCCTCCCTCCAACTCCTCCCTCCTCCTCCTCCTCCTACTCCTCCTCCTCCTCCTCCTCTTCCTCCTCCTCCTCCTCCTCCTCCTCCTCCTCCTCCTCCTCCTCCTCCTCCTCCCCTGGGAGGCTTTTCGCTGTTTTCCGCTCCTGGAGGCCTCTACCTGGCCGCGGGACCGTCGTAGAACGACTCGGGATGGAAAGCCAGTCCCGGGGAGTGGGTCGAGACCTCTGGGGGTCGACGTCATGTAATTATGCCAACGGAGTTTCCCACATAAGGATGTTGAGGGCATCGTGGGATCAATGAAGCTAAATAATAGCAATACGAATGGAAGGGCCATCGCAAAAATACGTGCGAAAGAAACGGCGGACGAAGGCAAGGAGGGGGAGCAGCAGGAAGGACGTATGGTATAGTATGGCACGATTTGGTACGGTACGGTATGGTATGGTGTGGTAGGTTTGGTATGGTAGGTATGGTTTGGTCTGGGGGTCGACGTCATGAACAAATCATGACGTCGGGGGTCCGCTGCTGTCTGTCGTTCACGCTTCCTCCCTGTCCCGCTTCCCTCCGAGGCGCGTGCAACCGCCGCTCGTCGTCGTCGTCGTCGTGTTCGTCGTGGTCGTCGTCGTGGTCGTCATCGTTGCCGTCGTCGTCGTCCGCCTCCTCGCTCTTCCCGCTTTGGTTGTTGCTGTGTGTTATTGTGTGTCTTTAGTCGGAGATTGGGGGTAAGATCGAAGTGAAACGGAGACATCCCGTCGGGAAATCGGTTTCGGTTTCGTTTTCCGTGTCCAGGTTGCCAACATAATTTCCAGGTGTCTAGAATGCATGGTCAACATGTTTCGGAAGTGCTAAACCATGTTTTAAACATGTGTCGAGGTGTGTAAAAAGCAAACAGAGGGTAAGTTCAAGACATGTTCAGTTCAATGATAGAACGGTCAGAGTGTCCAGTGTCATGCCATCCACAACTCTGGTGCACATGCCAAAATCATTATCCAAGCGGTGCTCGCATTTTGCTTTAATTGTTATTCAATCGCTTCGCTCATTCCGCCAGCCCGTACTGTACCATCGCAGGCGTTTGCCTGCACGTTCGTGGCCTCTTGGGGGCTCGTTTTGGGGCCTCTTTTTGAGCCTCTTGGGGGCCTCGTGAGGCCTCCAGGGGGCCTCCGAGGCTCTCCTGGGATCCTGTTGGGGCCTCCTGGGGGCCTCTTTGGGTGGAAGGACCGAATTGGTGGTTCGTGCTCCCCCTCTTGGGCCCCTCTTGGGGCCGTCTTGGGGCCCTCTTGGGCGATCTTGGGCGCCTCTGGAGCCGTGTGGGGCCCTCTTGGGCCGTTCTGGGCGCCTTTTGGGGGCATCTTGGGCCGTCCGGGGCGATCTCGGAGGCCTCTTGGGCTGCCTCGGAGCGTCGGGAAGCCGAAAAGGCAAGAATGCCCAAATCCATCAGAAACCGAAGGGAAATCTATTTATTTTGCATCTGGGGGCCCACTGGGTAGTGCTCTTGGACGCCTCTTAGGCCGTCTGGGAGCCATCCCGGGCGTCTTGGTGCGATCTTGTCGTGTCCCGGAGGCCTTTAGGAGGGCCTCTTGGGGGCCTCTGGGCCGCTCTTGGGGCTCTCGGGAGGCCCTGAGGGCGGCGCTCAAGAGCAAAACCATCTCTGTTGGGGACTGCCCGGGACCTGCTCGGGGTATTTTTCGGCCGCGGACCCCAGGGGCCGCCCCGCGCGCGCGAACTAGAAATACGGTTTACCAGTCACCGGGGATTGGAGAGGCCTGACGGCCGGTGCCGCCGACCCTGATCGAAAGGGCTAGGAGTGAGGGGAGGAAGCGGAGGAGGAGAAGGAGGAGGAGGAGGAGGAGGAGGAGGAGGGAGGAGGAGGCGGAGAGGAGGCGGAGGCGGAGGGCGGAGGCGGAGGCGGAGGCGGAGGCGGAGCGGAGGCGGAGGCGAGGGCGGAGGCGGAGGCGGAGGCGGAGGCGGAGGAGGAGGAGGCGGAGGCGGAGGCGGAGGAGGAGGAGGAGGAGGAGGAGGAGGAGGAGGATGAGGAGGAGGAGGAGGAGGAGGAGAGGAGGAGGAGGAGAGAGGAGGAGGAGGGAGGAGGAGGAGGAGGCGGAGGAGGCGGAGGAGGAGGAGGAGGAGGAGGAGGAGGAGGCCGTAGCCATTTTGGCTCAAGTCCGTAGCGTGGCCCAGGCGTCAGCAGCGGACGGAGACTTTCTGGCATTGGGGGGCGCCTAAGAGGTGCACACGGCCCCCAGCAGCTTTCCCTGACATCACCAGTCAGGGCACATTCGGTATTCAACTGCCCTGCTCGTCTTCTTTGCCAGCCACAACGTGTTGATGGCACCTTGGAAGGATGCTTCGCTTCAGTTTCTTTCTTCGCTCCAGGGGGCCGAGCCCTGGACATGTGGACACTGTGGCACGGGAGGCAACTTCGCGACCAAGATGCAGTGCCGCCAGTGTTTCGCCCCCGCGCCGAAGCACATCCAGGCGGCCATCACGCGTGCGTCCCGCTCCTCCTCTGTGCGGCGACCGTGGCAGATGGCCAACCCCCCAGCTGGGGGTAAGGCCAAAGGCAAAGGCAAGGAGAAGGGAGACAAGGGCAAGGACAAGGGCTTCGTGGCTGGCCCCGTTCCTCGCGGCTCTGCTGGCGCTGCTTGGGGCTACTTCGGGGCTGGCACTGACCTGCTCAAGCCCAAGACTGCTGAGCCGCCCGACCCCATCGCGGTGCTCGACAAGTCGATCGGCATGCTGGAGTCCCTCGCCGACCCCAGCCTCGGGCCCATCATCGAGGCCAAGCGGACGGAGAGGGCGACCCTTGTCGCCCAGAAGCGGGCAGGCAATCCCCTGCACCAGCAGCTGCAGGTGTTGGGGGGCAAGATGGCCGCCGCGCAGCGCAGGCTCGCTCGCCAGCGCGATGAGGTCGCGCCCGAGCTTCAGCAGCGCCTGGCTGAGGCTCAGCGGATGCAGGAGGCGGCCAGCAAGGAGCTGGAGCAGCTGCAGGAGGAGAAGGCTCAACTGGCCAGGCGAGTGGCTGCTGAGGAGCAGGCCCCAGCTGGGGCAGCGGGCCCTCTCGGCGGTGGCCCCCACTGCGGGCAGGCGGTCATCAGCCAGCTCGTGCAGAACCTGGAGAAGCTGGTGGGGGACACCGAGGGCGACGGCGACTCGGTGCCCAAGCCGCTCGCGGAGTCCCTCCAGAACATGCTCAAGCTGGTCAAGGAGCTCCCTCAGGCCTCAGGGGCCCCCGCTGCTGCTGCCGCCGCGCCTCCTGGGGGGCCTGATGCAGCGGCGGCTGCCGCGCCCCCAGGGGGGACTGCTGCTGCGGCCTCGGCGGCTGGCGGCGGCGGCTCGGTGGAGGAGCAGAAGCGCAAGCGAGACGAGCTGGCGGGCCAGTACCTCAGCGGGCTGCCCGAGGAGGAGCGAGCCGCCAAGCGGGTGGTGCTGGGCTCCTTCTACGACCACCACGGCGAGGCGGCGCTCCCCAAGGCGCCTCTTTGATGGGCCCGCGGGCCCGCCCTTGCTCGATTGGGCGACCTACGAGGACGGCCAGTTTTGGACGAGCGAGGGCCTTTACGAGGAGGAGCTGCACGGGGTTGGCTCCTCTGAGGGCGGCTGGGCGGGTGAGATTTGCAGGACGCAGCTCATTGGGACTGCCCCAGCTGGGCCGTCTCAGAGGCGCCGACGCACTCGGCGAGGGGCTCGACACGTCATCGCCGCCACCTTCAACGCCAATCTCTCCTGGGCTCGCGTCGAAGAGTTCATGGGCGAGGAGATCGGCCAGCTCATCAAGAGCGGCGGCGTCCCCGTCATTGCGGTGCAGGAGCACGCGAAGCCCGCCGAGTGGTTCCACGTCACTGCGGCGGCGCAAGAGCGACGGGGCTGGCGAGTTGTGGGTGCGCCTGCCGTGCGCACGGCGGAGGGCGGCTACTCCGCGGGTGTGGCGCTGGTCACGCCGCGCTGCCTGAGCCTCAGCCTGGCGCCGGGCCAGACGTCGTGGGACATCTCTCCCGCAGGCGCCGCAGGCAGGCTGTGCTTGGGCATGGCCGAGGTCAAGGACATCGGCTGGGTGGCCTTCTTCTCGGTGTACCTGTTCACGGGCAAGCCCGTCACCTGGGCCTTGAACGCGGCTTTGCTGGACACCATCGTGCACTGGGTCTGCCAGATGAGGGCCCCTTGGATGGCCATGGGCGACTTTAACAATGAACCGCACGCCATCCTTGACAGCCCCTGGAACCAGGAGGCCAAGGGCCAAGTTCTGGCCTGGCAAGGGGAAGGCGGCACCTGCAGATCCAAGGTGGTAAAGCAGGGCGTGGAGGAGTTCAAGGATCGGGTCATCGATTTCTTTTGGATGGATGCGAGGTTGGCCATGATCTTTTGCCCAGTGATGTCCTTCGAGAACACGCCCTACAGGCCGCACAGGCCGACTTGGATCCGCGCCGACAAGCCCTGGCACGCGTGCCAAATCCAGGTCCTCAAGGGCCCCAAGCAGTACCCCATCACCAGGCCGCCACCTGTCAGTCAGCCCGAGATCCCGCAGGGTTACCCCAAGCTCGACCTGCTCCACGGCTCGCAGCAGCACCTGGACCAGTGCGGGAGTGGGTTTTGCTCTGCTGCTGAGGCCGAGCTTCGGTCTCTGTTCGGCTGGACGGAGTCGGAGGCGCGCAGGTATGAAGGCCGAGGCTTGACTCCCGAGGTGATGCAGAGACAGCTTCTTCCGAAGCACGACAGCCCCGTGGCTGATCGAGGCCCAGCCAGGGCCTGGCGTTGGGCCGCGGGGGAACTGGCCTGGATTGGCCAACTCGTCTGCTGCGTCTTACGGGGCCAGCCGCCTCCCAAGACCAAGCCGGAGGCCCCAGCAGGCCGGGCTACCACCTCGGGAGAAGATCCTACAACGACGAGGTCGCAGGCCAACTCAGACGGGCCTGGAGGAAGCTGCTCCTGGCGAGGCACCACTGGGACCAGCTGGAGCCCTGGAGCGCGTGCTTACTGC